GGGTTCTTTGTCGGTCTGCATATTATGGCGCAGTCGGAATGAATGCTTTGAGGCTAGGAAAGGAGGAACTCGAGAGGGTTGGATCGCGCTTCGAAGTGCTGCATGATGCTTCTTGCACATAGATCGGTATGGCAGGTGTTGGCTCACACGCGAGGCTCTGCAATCACGGCAGACAATGCTGGTTCGTGCAAAGCAGGAAGAATGCGGCGCGGCTCCTGGCAAAAGAGACGGGTTCGTTTATGCCTCCAAGAGCTTAGAAGAGCACAATAGAATCCAAATCAGAACAAACTCGAAGCTTTGCGAAGAGAAATGTTAGGTCACTGTCAATGCGTGAATGCAGACCTGGTCGCTCTTTGTCGACATGAGGGTATCATTTTCTGTTCAGTAGACATGCGCCGTTCGGATCAATCTCTCAGACGGTCAATGCGGTATCCAGGACAGTTTTCCACTGCTGCCATCTGCGTTTGGCGAGCTCGACCGCCTCTGCAATATGTTCGGGTCCTACCACTGAGCCGCCGCTCTTTTCAATTCTCAATACTGATGCCGCGTTGACACCGTCGCTACAATCCACCGTGATACACCCCACCTCTGCGCAAGACTCTTCTTCAAAGGCGTCGGGGTCCATCAGAATCCAGGACTGATTTTCCTCGTCATTATGCATGGTCAACAATCTTTTTTCTGGCACAAACACCCCCCAACTGCTGGGCACTGGCATTCCTCTGAGTCGCAGTTTCCGTGCTTCTTTGACAACATCTGAACAGAGGACCTTTTCGAGGTCCGGATCCCACCAAGCCTTGGGGAGAAGGCAGTTTCGCAAGGCAGCATCCAGTGCCAACCAAGCGGCATCAAAGATGGATCCGCCATAGCTGATACACATCATGTCAATGTAAAGCGTCCAGTATGCCTTCAACTGCGGCCCCGCGTCTATTCCTAGTTCTAGGTCTTGAGACTCTGGAGGAGGAGTATAGATGATCTCGAGGTCCGATGTTCTGACCAGCTGCGTGGTATGAAGTAAGGACAACATTCGCTGAGAGATTGACTGGGCTTCGACTGAAGGCGCTGTGTTGGTAGGGTGTCTCGGTGAGCAGCCCGTGGCTAACTCAATGTTTGGAACCACCAAGTTGTGCAGTTGAATCGGCGAGTATTCGCCTTCCTCTTCATGGTCATCCACCTCGTTCCTGCGTCTCAATGGAATGGTCCGATCTCTGCCTGAAGAGTTGGTGACTCGAAAACTGGGAATCTCGCTGGTAGGCAGTATCTCGGCGCGAACACCACAAACTATTGTCGTAGCTCCAATCTTGACTAGTGAGGATCCATTACAATGCGTCAAAGAACCCACGTTGAGCTGAATAGGTCTTGGTTCCGGGGGATTGCGGTTCGAAGGGCGTCTGGGCGGGGATTGTTTTAAGTGGGCGTGGAGAAGCGCATTGGGAGATATGATGGACATCGCAGATGCAGGCACCGAAGCGTTGAGCGCAGTTACAGAATCTAACGAAGGCATTTCTGCCAGAGTCGAAACAAACTACATAGTGTAATGTGTCTGCGAGTGTTGGAGGCCGCAGTTTGTACTGGACATTTTACGAATTTCGCAGATATTCTGCCGGTACAAACAGAGAAGCGGTGAGATGGACTTGGCGCCCCGATTGGCGAGTGCCACAACACAACTAACTACACTAAGTAATCAGGTAAGGTAATTCAATGGCCAGCAGATTGACGCATTCGATGCAAAAGGGTCCAACGTTGCCGATATACCCGCTGATGGCAGAGCAATTCGGATGCTCAGAGACCCCTACAACAGCCTTACGCGGTGCTCTCCCTTGTCATCGAAGGTGGCCCTGGAAGACGCCAATGGCATAGTGGAAGCAATTCATTCCGAAGGTCTAATGCATTTGGGCAAAGTCCGATGTCTATTGGCTACAACATCCCACTCTCGGAAGCATTCCCTCGGTCGTGAAAGGGCGCGAGCGCGAGGAGCGACGAACGAGAAAAAAGAGCGGGGAAGAACAAAAGCATAACATCCCTCTAATCGCTGAGGATAGGCCAGCTTGATGTCCGACGACACGCTGAATAGAGGAAATGCCCATTCGTACACTGCCAGGGGGTTTTGACTTATAGGGGATCAGGAATGCCGCGCACAAGTACCGCAGCATACATGGGTATCGCATCCTAGAATCTGTTCGCTGTCGGGTCGGGAGAATCTCTGCTCTTCACACTTGGGGTCGAGGAGAGGTTGTGGGGGATATAAACCCATTGATGTGAACGGCGGGTTTCAATGGAGATCTGACACTTGTTCACTTCGGAGATCCGAGTTGCGCAGCCTACGGTATTCACTCCGCAGCATTCATTGCCTTGGAGTTCAACAATATCACGTTCATATTGCATTGCGTACGAGTTCGGCCCATTTCTGAACGGCTCCCAAATTGGTACCTCATCTACATCTTTCTTAATCTAACCTTGTGCAGCTCACCGAACCCCTTCTTCTCTATCACCACCACCTAGGAAAATGGCCGACGCCGACCTTCTCGACGTCTTGATCGTTGGGTCCGGTAGCGCCGGGCTGACGGCGGCGCTGTGGTTGGCGACCTACAACACGACACACCCGCGGCAACAAATCAAATTCAAGATCCTGGAGCGGCGTGGCGGACCCATGGCCATTGGGCAGGCTGACGGCATACAATGTCGCACAGTCGAGATCTTCGAGACCCTGGACCTGTCAGAGGACCTCCTCCGCGAGGCGTATCACGTCCTGGAAGTCGCCTTCTGGAGCCCTGACGGGCATGGTGGCATCTACAGGAGCGATCGCGCGGCTGATACGGCCAAGGGTCTGAGCCATATGCCACATCTCATCCTGAATCAGGCCCGGGTTAATGGACTGCTGCTAGAGAAGCTGAGGAAGCTTGGAGCTGGCCGGGGCGAGGAAGTGAGTTATGGGTGGACCGTCAAGAGTGTCAGTCTCGACGAGGAGCTGGCCGAGATGCATGAGGCGAGTTATCCCTGTACGGTTGTTGCGGTGAGAGACGAAGACGGGAAGGAAGAGATTTTCAGGTCCAAATACGTCTTGGTAAGTTTCATCTACAAGCATCCTGTCGTTAACGTCATACATTTTACTAATTTATCGTTGGACCACAGGGATGTGACGGCGCACACAGTGTCGTGCGCAAATCACTGGGCTACAGGATGGTGGGGGATAGCACCGATGCCGTTTGGGGTGTCATGGACATCTATCCTCAAACCAACTTCCCAGACATCCGTCGCAAGGTCACCGTCCACTCCGATACGGGTTCCCTTTTGGTCATTCCTCGAGAAGGTGGCTGCCTGACCCGCTTCTACATCGAATTTCCCCCAGGTACAAACGTCAAGGATATCAAACTCGAAGACCTGCACAAAAAAGCTCGGCAGATTTTCCACCCGTACAAGATGGACTTTGCGGACACGTACTGGTGGTCATGCTATTCGATCGGTCAACGTCTCGCGGACCACTTCACCAAGTCTAACCGGGTATTCTTGACCGGCGACGCATTCCACACGCACTCACCAAAGGCTGGGCAGGGGATGAATGTCAGCCTGCAGGATGGGTTCAACCTCGGCTGGAAACTGGGCCATGTCCTGACAGGACAGACGACACCAGAGTTATTGAAGACTTACAGCATCGAGCGTGGCAAGACGGCGGCCGATCTCATAGACTTTGACAGGTACTTTATGAAGCTGTTTGCCAGCAACAAGGGGGACAACGAGAAGAAGGTGACCCCCGAAGAGTTTCGCGAGGGCTTCATCAAGTCTGGACGCTACACTGCAGGGTTGACTTCGAAGTACGAGGACTCCAGCGTCACATCCAGCGCCGCCAGCACGCAGGAACTGGCACAGGAGCTTGTGGTCGGCATGAGATTTCCTGGGGCGCAGGTGGTACGGTTCTGCGACGTGAAAGCTATGCAACTCTCGCGGGCCTTGAAGGCCGACGGTCGGTGGCGTGTCATTTTCTTTGCCGGCAGAATCGAAAGCCCAGAACTGCTCTCGAGGCTCAAGCAGGTTCGTCCTCTCTTGCCTTAGTCCTGCTAACTGCTGCTGTGAAGAGAGAAGAACTGACCCACATCTGCCCAGATCGCGGAATACATGGAATCACGCGCTGGTCCCGTGCGAAAGTACACCCCCATCTCGGCGGATATCGACAGTTTCATCGAGCCCATCGTGCTCGTCAGTGGCAACCGCGTGCAACTCGAACAGGAGCAGATCCCCGACTATTTCTGGCCCGTCACCGGCAAGTGGAAGATGAGAGGTGAGTGAATCGATCCGTCCGTCATATTCTTCTATCAAAACCCGTATCGAAAAGGCGACCCATGAACCTTTTTACTGATTTGATATACCTCCGAAAAACACAGATCTCCACAAAGTCTTCGTCGACGACGAGCATTACAACTCGGGCCACGGCCACGCTTATGAGAAGTACGGCGTGGACCCGGACAAGGGCGCCACTGTCATTGTGCGACCTGACCAATGTACGTTACACTCGTATACACACCCGTCTCTACAGACACAGATATGATACCCCCGCCGCCCTTGGTCGGTGAGATCACTCTTGTCATCTCCAAACCTACCCTTACTTACTGACGACTTGGTGCGTCTATAGATGTCTCAAAGGTTCTTCCCATCGACGACACCGCGGGAATCGGCCGGTTCTTCGACGGGTTCTGTGTCTCGCACCAAGAACAGAATGGCGGGAACGGCCATCTATAAAGCCAGATAAAGAAAGGCCTGAATCCTAAACCTCATAAGGAGCAAAAAAGCCCAGCGGGCTCGAGAATATAAATCAGTGTTTTAGCGTATTCTACAGAGTTTATTCGACCTTTTATCTCACTCTTCTCTCACTTATTTATCTATCTACCCACCTACCTACCTACCTATCTATTCATCAAACAAACAATCAAATCACTCAATCGATCGACCGAACAGAAACACCAAACAATCTGATTGGAGAAATGGTGTTAAAAAGCCACCCTAAGAATCTATCCACGACTTCGCCAAAGCAGCGTCCCGACACATAACGCGTTGACGACGGTGTGCTGGCCCACCACCCAGGCGGCGGTGTAGAGGTACTTTGGGGAGAAGACGGTCCAGATGAAGAGGTGTTCGCGGAGGACCGTGCACGCCACCATGACGGACAAGGCGTGGACGCAGGAAAACGTCGCCAGCGCCGCGAAGAGCAAGGAAGATGCACCGTCATCGCCACTCTGAAGCTGGTGAGGGCTGGATAATTGGAGGATGGCAAAGGACCACCATATCGGACCGGCCCAGTTGCTCACAAAGGTGAGGATGCCCACGGCTGCGACGTTGTAGCCGCTCACGCCGTTGTACGCGTTGGAGAGGTCGATGGTGGCGATGGAGTTTGTGCTCCCAAACGTGAAGAAGGAGGCGTACTGGAACAGGAGGGCCAGGATGGTGATTTCGCCGACCGACCGCTGTCTGCCGCGTCGGAGGAGGGCGAGTTGCAGGGTGAAGAACAAGAACAGCGGGACGTAGACGGTGCGGGTCTGCGTGATGAGAAACAGGGTCAGGACGTCTTGCAGGACCGGCAGGAAACGGCGCAGATGCTCGGCGCTCTGCCACGGCGCTTCGTAGTAGATCGAGCAGCCGAGCACGTGGGCCAGGCCGAGGAAGACGACCCGCGCCATGCTGACGAGCGGGTACGCCGAAACAAAGCCAACGAGCGGATCGAGGATGGGGAATGAGGCGAGTAGCTCGGGCGCGTCCGCGGCGGTGAAGGCGACCTTGAAGAGGAATGCCGAGATGGAGACCAGCGCCGGCAGGATGCCCATCTGCGGCGAACCCATCCAGACGCCTGCTCTGCGGCTGAGATTACGTGACGGGACTGCATAGGCGAGCATGACCAGCATCCAGAGCACCCATGAGTTGGGCGTAATGACTTCGCCCAGTATGTCGGCCTCGCCGGCGTATTTCTGGCCAGTCTGTCTCCAGCGCCGCGCCACGCCGAACAGCAGGTATGCGAGGGCAGTGGCTGTCGGGCCTTTCACGACAGAGCGAGCAGTGTCGGTCATTTTGAACCGGCTGTCCCTACAATGTAACACGACCAGGTAGCCCGCAAGGGTCCAGTACCAAAACTGATGCTCCTCTTCGACGTAGCTGCTGGCGAACATGGTAATGGCAAAGCTGAGCATTATGACGAGAAGTATCAACCCGTCCACCCCTGCTGAGAAAACTCCCCGTGCGAAGCTGGGCGTGCAGAGTGCCAACGCTAGCACGCCGAGGCCGATACCTGTCCGCATGCTCGCGAGATCGTAATTGCTGGCCGTGCCACTGAGGAGGCTTTGCGCTCTGTACAGAAATGACTTGAGATGCGTTGTCGGCGGAAGTGCAGAGGATTGGTCCGACGTTACAGCATCGTGCTCAGCCGAGACGTGCTGCCACAGACAGGCGAGGACTTGGGCGTCGTCTCCATCGGTTATCGAGCATTCAGTCGGTGTTGAAACCTGACCGAACTCTTTCGGAAACGTCGCCTGGGCGATCCGCAGAATCTGCTCGGCGTTGCTGTAGAGTAAAGCATACTGATCTTGATGATGGGTCCAGAGCTCCAACAATCGCGGTATGATGACCCCGAGGTTATTGAGTGGGATGGGGAATCCCAGTAGAGCGGCCAGGGTGGGCACGATGTCGGATTGCTCAACGGTGTCGTAGTATTGATAGTCGACTGCATCGTCGACGGGGCAAGATTGTCCTTCGAACGCCGACTTGAACTTTGGGGAGATGAATGTGAGAGCGGTAGAAACCTCTCCTTGGGAGGACGCCCCGTGATTCCCGCCCTCGTTCATGCCGTGGTCACCAAGCAAGACCAACAAACATGACTTGAGATGGTCATAGCTTTCCAACTTTGCGTATATGTCCCGAACGATACCGTCCATCTCTGTCTGCTTTGCCGGCATTTTAGGCCCTTTGGGCCCAGTCTTGTGCCCGATATGGTCCAGGCCCAGGAAATGGAGCGTCATTGCGGACCAGTCTTGGTTCTCTAGCTCAGAAGGAATATGCCTCGTGACGTTGTTGTCGACTTCGGTGAAGTCGGACACGAAGAAACTCGTCGTGCCGTCGGCTCGGGAGAAGAAGTCGGGAAACAAGCGCAGCCAAGTGTCGTCCCCGTACATGACGAGGCTGTTGCCTTTTGCCCGCAACTGGGCCAGCCACGTGTCTTGGTCCCTGAGGGTCGACGTCGTGTCTGACTCGGCAAAATTGAGGATGAGGTCCACGAAACTGGGCACCGAACCGGTTGTGATGGCCTTGACGCGCGGCATGGTGATGGTCGGTGGACTGGCATGGCCGGTGAAGGGGACGGCGGCGCCAGATCTGATGAGGCCCTGGGTAAAGGCAAAACTCGAAGCATTTCCGTAGACGAAGTCGCTGCGCAGAGCGTCGACAACCATAAAGATGACGCGGTCAAAAGGGGCTGCCTGAGCCCCAGCCCCAGCCCCAGCTCCAGACGTCGCGGGCCATGTTGCCAGTCCCGGTAGGAATGCTTTGTGAGGAAAGAAACCTCTTGCGAAAATCACGAGAGCCGCAATGAGAAGGATGTTGGAGAGTGAGAGCGCGGCATTGCGAAATGTGATGATCATCCTCGATGCTTGGTGATTCGAGTTCGTTGCACCTGCGAACGACTGCTCACGCCGACGGCTGGTGGCCACTGTCACCTGATGGGTCCCATGGCACAGAATTGCAACTCAATACGTCCTCCGAAGAAATAAACATATACAAAGACGTTGGAAGCAGCCAAAGAAAGTGAATGGTGGCGCGATGTCGGGGTCTGGAAACTATTTCGTGGATGCCAAGCACTGATCCACCGTAGAAGCTGCTCAGCCTTGCGATTCAGCCTCGTCAGTCTCAGCCTCGTCAAACCTCAGCCTTGTCGCATGGGCAACCTTTGTCAACAAGCAGCGAGCAATTGAGTGAAGCATTCCCAATCGAGCAGACAACTCAGAAAGAGAGGGCATTTCGTTCTAGTATATCAAACACCAATTTTTAAACTTCACCAAAATATTTACCCAGAAGAATGAGTCCCCGTCATACTCTCAACTAAAGGTACAGCCATGCTCCTCACCCCAACCTCCAATAGCACCTTACAACCAGCCCTCTGCTTCACAGTGAGGGCTTTTGTCCAAACACAACATAACTATACGTAGAGTCAGCTCGAATCCTCCCAAGGTGGGCGTGAAGCGATGAGGATGGGGCTCCCATCCACACAGATTCCCACTTACAAGTCGTACTGTCCATGAATCTTTGGGTTCTTCATATCTCTTCTCGTCTCCGCCAGCAAAACCTGCACCTCTTCTATGGACCAAGGATCTTCCGCTGTCCTCGCTAGGCACCCGAGTGCGATGCCTTCCATACCAGCTTGAAACTGCAGGTAGTTGCATATTCCGACTTGCTTCTGTGAAGGGGATGAGTGGTCAGCAAACATTTGCCTGGTCGTCCGGTGGTTTGAGGGGAGCCTGCACGACGCGCGTAATGTCCATATATAACTCACATATTTGTTGTCCTTGGGCCATATACCCAGCGGAATGGGTAGTTTAACCGCCTGCACGTTGATGAAGCCGGCGTCTCGAAGCCAGCCCTCGACCTTTGAGCCTGGCTGAGAATCGTAGCCAGCAGCAGTGCGGCGGCCACATGTGTAGTGGTGGAACTTGAAAAGTGCCGCGTCTTCGGCTAACGAATCATCCTTTGAATATATGTGCGTGTCCCATTCCTGGAACTCGACCCAGCCGCCAGGCTTTAGATTCCTAGGACGTCCGCATCGTCAGTATCCACAACTCTAGTTGCATGCTTGTTGTGAGGCATTCAGGATTCAAGATTCGGGTGGGTGCGTGTGGATCGGACACGATCAACCAACGTACTCAAAAGATTGCCTAACTAGTCGTGGCCAGTCTCGAACTGAGGACGCCAGATATCGTCCATGGATGTAGTCAAAAGGCGTATCATCGTATGCCCACTCGTCCTCAAAATCGTCAATAATGAACCTTAGGTTCGGGGGCACGAAAGTGGACTGTATAGGCGTCAAGTCCGTTCCAATGACTTCTGCTGTTGGATACAGATCGGCTGGTGAGTATTGTTAGAACTAGGGAGCATCGAAAAGGAACGGGAGGTCTTGATTCACCAAAATCGACAGCCCAATTGCCTGTCCCAGTACCAAGATCAAGGACTCGCTGGGGTTCTGAACCAATTGGAGCATAATGAAGGTGGCTGTCCAGCAGCCAAAGCATCAACGCATGATGAAGATCTAGCCGCTTCATTTCTTGTTCGTCGCTGGGCAACATGTCTCGAAGGATGTTATTACCATTGAAATCAAGAAGGAAAACAGTGGGGGTGAGACGAACTGCCCTGGTGATCTCGAAAGGCATGATAGATGCGGCCATACTGCATCATGAAGGTGTTGACGGACGAGGTAAGCGAGGCTGTGTAGGCAGATCTGACTTGGTCAGTAGAGCATTCGCGTATCGATGCAACGACAGGTCTAGGTACAGCTCATCTCCATATGCTGAATCTCGCTCAGTTGCCTGCCCTGTGAATTAGTCCCGCGTTGTTCGAAAACGGCGCTCAAAACGTGGACTGACCTCTTCATCCACAAGTATCGTGACATCTCCAGAAACAGCAGCGTCCACGACAGCAGAGCTGCCCGCCTGGTGCAGATCAAGGCCTGCGGTTGCCATAATGTCTGCAATCCGGGAAAGGCTGTCGAGCGGTCGGCGAAGGACGATCCATGTGCATTATACACATAAAGACGACTCAAAAGGTGCCAGTAAGGTTCGGGTTCCAAGCCTCGAGAGGGCTTTCGAGTCGGGAGTTTGTGGAGTGCTGGGTACAATCATGCTTTGGCACAAGCCGACAGCAACTGTCACTGCAGACGGAATCCAGGGTCCACCTGCCACGTTTTACTGGCTCCATCAGCCACACCAACCGGGGGAGCCTAGAGGGTCCTTTCCGAGTTGCGGCCACGCTGTTTTTTTAGAGCCAAGCTAGGCGACACACCTATCGTTGGACAGCGTCCATCCTAGTCCACCTGCTCATCATGTCGGGGACACCGGGAGCCAACGGGGGCTGACCTCAAGCCCAGAACTTGTTCTGCAAGAGCTGCATAGCGCAGTCCAGCCGTGGTGGACCGCCTTGTGCCGTTTCCAGCTGCTCGGTGGTTTTTGATTGGGAAACCCTGGCCGATAGTGTTGCGTCCCATGTCATCAACGGCGAACAGCGAAGCAGAGGATGCAATCGAGGATCGAGGCGACTTGTTGGAGGGAATTGCAAAGACAGGCAGAGCCCACCGGCATGTGCTGATTGCATTCCCCTTCGCGGTACTTGCAGATATCCCCCACGTCGCCTCAAGCTAATACCTACCTAGGTATCCTCTCCAGCCGTATAATACCTATACCTATTTCCCCCTCCAGCGGCCCGATCCTTCACCCGGGGAGACTCACATATGAGAAAAGAAGGAGAGGCAGAAGCGGAAAGTGTCCAGAGTTTCTTGGACTCGCCGTCGTCATGTACAAAACATCAGCCTTGATTGGCCTGTTGGCCATCCCTGTGGCTTGGGTGCTGTACTTTTTCTTCTGGTCTGCTACTAGCAAATTCCCATCGACGCCCGGACCGTTGCTCGCCCGCTTCACTCGCCTCTGGTACCTGAAGGCTCTCATCAGAGGAGATTTCGAACAGGTGAATATCGCTTTGCACAGAAAACATGGTGAGCGGCGACACACTGCTCTGACCCAATTCCTCTAATGCAAATTGTTCCAGGCAAAATCGTCCGTGTCGAGCCTGGTGCATACAGCATTGACGACCCCGAGGCGATCAAGACCATCTACACCATTTCAAACCCGTGGAGCAAGTCGGCGTGGTATGGCGCGTCTTGTCCACCGGGTACCACGACAAACTTCAGCACCCCAGACAACAAGGATGCTGCTCGATTTCGTCGTAACTTTGCACAAGCCTTTTCCATGTCATCGGTGCTGGCCTACGAGCCTTTGATCGATGAATGCGGCGAGCTTTTGGTCGAGAAGCTCAAGACCTTTGCAAAGTCAGGTGAGACTGTAGACCTGACACATTGGTTTACTTGTTGGGCGTTTGATTGTCAGGGTCATATAACGGTGTGCTCCTTCAATACCTCCTTTTGACCAATTTACCGACTGACGATTCCCAGTTTTCTGAACGCTTTGGATTCCTTGACAAGGGCGAGGACGTCGGAGGGATCATTGAGAGCCTCCGTCACCGAATGTCATACGGCACTTTTGCGGGCGTGTATGCGGAACTGCACCCGATATTGTTCAAGATAGTCAACTGGCTCGCCGGGACAGACACAGCTCAAGTTGACTATACCATATCCTATACCCTGAAGCGAATCGCAGAAAGGAGACAAGAGGGAAAGTCGCACAAGAACGATATGCTTGCTCAGTTCCTGGCCGGCCAGCAGAGAGATCCAACCACCTTCACAGACTGGGATGTTCTGATCGGAGCTTTTGGCAACATCGTGGCTGGTGCTGATACCACCCACATCACCCTGTCTGCTATCCTTTACTACCTGATGAAGAATCGGCGGTGTCTCGACAAAATGCGCGCAGAGATCGACGAGATGGCCAAAGCAGGGTCAATTTCGGACCCGATCTCTTTCCACGAGTCACAGCAAATGCCCTATTGCCAGGCGGTGATAAAGGAGGCACAGAGGCTGTACCCCGGTACTGGGTAAGATTAGACGTCCAATGTTCCTTGCGCTTCACTCACCGTGTTCCCTAGGCTGCCACTGTTTCGCGTAGTCCCAGCAGGTGGCGCAATGATTGCCGGTAAATACTTCCCCGAGGGAGCTGTTGTTGGCATCAACAACTGGGTCGCCCACCACAACAAGGACGTCTTCGGACCAGATCCAGATGTATTCCGCCCAGAACGGTGGCTGGAGGGAGACACCACCGCCATGAATCGCTACTATTTACCTGTAAGTTTGGCCGGCCTTCGAACGAACGAGAAGAGGTGCTGACAGACACGGCATAGTTTGGCGTCGGTCCCCGATCTTGTCAAGGTCTGAATGTCGCGTTGATGGAGATGTCGAAATTCGTCCCGCAGCTCGTCCGCCGCCTCGATTTCGACTTGCTCAGCGAGTGGAAGACGTCTAATCGATGGTTAATGTTCCAATCCAACCTGAATGTCAAGGTGAAACTAAGAGATTAGTTCTTCGGTCGTCTGCAAGAATGGGAGAAGGAAAAGTACGAAGCATGGGACTGGGTGATGTATGGCAGATTTCCACTGCGAAAAGCAAGGGATATCAAGTATAGGTACATGTACACTCGTCACGGACAGTGCACCACAAACAGCCATGGTCAAACTCCAGATATTTCGCATGCAACCAGAGACTCTGTGCGCTCTGGCCACGTCCTCAACCGGGTCACAAAACGAAGTGTCGGCCTCCGATTGTCTGCCCTTTTCGGTGTTTCTTGGAGAAAGCCCTGAACGGTGGAATCATCAGCAAATGCTCCTGGTGGGCATCGATATCGTCGGACTCACCTCTTTGGTCCAGTTAAAATTCTTCCACCTTGAATCTGCTTCCCTGGGCAGGGGCAGATATATGCCATCCTCCTCGAGCACTGTTTCGATCCCATACCGCTGCCCCTTCACTTCAAGTCCGTGGCGGAATGTTTCTCTGATCATGGCTTCCCAGCACTCTAATTCAGTTTCTTGATTCCTGGCCAATCGCGAGTGTTGTTGTACAAAACACCCAGGACGAGCGCAATAGTTTTGACAGCCGAATCAGGGCATAGTAATCCATTCTTCTCCAATAAGTTCAGCGTCGTGAAAACGGCACCTCCAATGAGCTTCAGAGTGTGCACACCGTGTCCGGACCGTCGACGTTGAACCACTCATACGTGTCATTCAGGATTCAGGCGAATCCTTCAGTGATTGACCATAAAGCCGCAGGTGATGTGTCTCCTTGACGGGCACGTCCAGGACAGAGAATTCGCGGTTGAAAGACACCAACTAGTGCATGTATAGCTTACCAAGAGCGCCAAAAGCATCAGGTTCAACCGAAACTTACCTGGTTCTCCATCACCTGTTGCAAGCCATACCCATTGAAATCATTGTAGAAGTGTTCTCCAGCAGCATTGCAAGCGAGATACCAATAGATAGCCTTTTGTCGTAAGCATCCACTTATGCCCTGGAAGCTCGGAGGCTGGCCGCTTGCAAACGCAGCCCTTCAAACCACAGATTGACTCGCGCTGATCATTCTGGCTTCCTAGCCTGTTGTCCTATTGGCTGTCATGTTCATTCCTCCTCATCGGATTTTTCAGACGCATCACGAGTTGCCCGTTGCTCCGCCCGAATGTCATCCAGCGGTCTGCAGAGTGTCAGGTATTCGACCTCAGGCGCATCATTTTCTGCGGGGACATGATCCCATCTGAGTCAGTGTCCAATGGATTGATACTTCACAGAAGTCCGGGGCATATCTCTCCGGTTGCCGAAGCGGATGGAGCCGCGTGTAGCTTATCTAGAATCCTCGAGGCGTCGGACGAGCACGTCCTTGTTACCGCCGTATGGTAAATTGCGTCACTGGAGCAAGGTGGAAAGGTCTTGCTTCTTTATACCCGTAGAGTGACTGGCTTCATCTTCTTTCCCTGCGGCTGGTTGCTGCGACTGTCATTTGGAAGGTGGCTGTGATTGCGTCGTATTGCTGTCAATTTGGCTCAATGCGCATTTGTTGCCCGCCATTTTTCAGCTGCTTGTAGCGGGAGTGTGTTCGATGATGCAACAAGATGATCAGAGAAGGATATGTTCTTTAGCTCCTTCTATGTCTTGTGGGAAGTCATAGTCGGACGTGTCTCGCTTCGTTGTCGATATAGTGAGATCAATTGCTGAACGCGACGCGAAAGTCCACGCGTTCTCACGTGTTCATCTAGTTGTACCGAGTATGCGGTTCCTCTGCGCTCTTTCTCCCATAGCGCAGCACGTTGACTCTCATATCCGTTCTATCTTGCGATAGCACGTTTCGGGATACACGCTGCTGAGCGACATGATTCCCACGGAGGCTTCGGTTGTAACTGGGGCGCGGTAATGGCACAAAAACACCACTTCAATGTTGAGCCCGTGGCTCGTTTCACGGGCCTCAATGCAGCAATTCGCAGGCCTCGTGTACGTGTGCTCCAACATATTTGAAAACTTTCCATCTGATAAGCTCAGGAAATCGCATATTTTTCCTTCGACGAGGATCACAAGTTTCGACTCGATGACTCGAGCCTGCGCTATTACTACCCGCCCGCACTTCCTTGCGATCTCAGCAAAGGTTTTGAGACATTCCACCAACTCGACGACTCTGACGATGACCATCTGGATGGACTCTTGGATGCGATCATGGCGTATGAGAAAGAGA